TACTATATATATATATATATATATATATATATATATATATATATATATATATATATATTATACACAAACCTAACTTTATACTTTGATAAAATATATATGATACTTCCTTTTCTAATTTTATAAATTAATAAAATGCACCTTCCCACACATCTACTTGCACACAAAGAGGACACCTATTTTAGAAGAATATTTAGATTTTCAAATAGCCATTTTAATTTTAAGTTAAGTGAAAATCTGAGTGGATGATATTAAATAAAAAAAAATACATACCTTAGTAAAATTGCAAGGAGAAAAGTAGTAACTGGAAGGCTGTTAGTAGTTGCAGCAGCCAAAGTTGCTGAAGTGTATTTAAGTGCCACTCCATAAATATTCAAGCTCAATGTAACACTGATAAAATACCAATTTCATTATAACAAATAAAATTCCCAAATGCAAATTTGTATTCACTACAACAAATAAATGATTTTATAGTGATTATTTAGCAGTAGTAATAAATTAAATTTAAGTATTTATAACGAACATGCTATATAAATTAAATGTCATTAAAAACTTTAGCGACTCTGAGAGTCACTAAATATCTTAAAGGAAAATGCATTTGTAGAATAGAATTAACTCATAACTTACCCACATAGGGAGAGCATGAAAATCTTGAAGCAAATCAAGAATGAGATTGGTGGTGCTGTTTTCCTACAAACACAAAAATAATAGGTTAGTATTATTAAAACTGTGTAATCATCACGTTCAAAATATTAAACTGTTAATTAATTACGTTAGAAATTAACGTCTCTGATACCATATTAATTACATTGTGTAACCGTCTAATATAAAAATTTGAGTAAATACTCATATATAGTAAAAGAAAGATTAAAAAAATGGGTTAGTGGGATTATAGTCTATATTGCTCAACACTTTTAGATACAGTTTTATGCTTTCAATCCACAAAAGCTATGAACTTGAGAGACAAGTATGACAACATGATTGGACTTTAAAAATGGGTTAGTGGGATTATAGGTTCATATATGTTAGCTCAAAAACACTTCTAAATTATAATTGTGTGTGTTAAATCCTTCAAAAGCTATGAGCTTCAGACACACATACGACAACATGTTTGGACTTTAAAAATGGGTTAGTGGAGTGATAGGTTATATAGGTTGCTCGAATACTTTTAAAATATAATTTTGTGTGGTCAATCTTCCAAAAGCGACGAACTTCACGCACAAAGGTACGATAATATGTTTGGACTTTAAAAATGGATTAGTGGGATTAAAAGGCTATATATTTTGCTCCAACACTTTTAAGATACAGTTTTGTGTGTTCAATCCTCCGAAAGCTACGACCTTTCAGACAGATATACGACAACATATTTAAAGCGTTCGAACAACATATATACTAAATCAAAACAATTAAAATAATTTACCTTTCAAGAAACATGGCTATAGGTGCTAAGAAGACAGCAGCAGCAGCTTGTCTATAGAATACAAACACAAAAGGGTTCATTCCAACATCAAAGGCAACTTTTGAAAGCAAGAACATCCCAGTATATATGGCTTGTATTATTACAATTGCTACACATGTTTTCTTCTTTACATCCATTTTGTCACTCTTTTCTTTTTATTTATGTGATTTTTTTTGAGAGAGAGGTTACACCTTTGGTTGTCTACTATTAATTAATCAACTCAAAGAACTACAAAAGATTGGGAGGAAGAAGTGGGATTTATATAGGAGAATTTGGAAAACACAAACTACAATATAATATGACTATTGATAGTGATGTATAAGTTGCTTTTCAATTGGACCATAAGGGACCAACAACAATAAAAAGTTTCTAAAGTAGAACTATTTAGGGATGCTTCCTTTTTTTAAAAAAAATTATTTTATGAAAAGAAACATAGGTTTTTTTTTTCAATTAGATAATGGACCCTTAACTAATTACTATAGTACTTAATTAGAAAACACTAAACAACTTTCTAGATTGGGCCTTTCAAGGATCATGTATGAATCTAGCAATAGTTTTATATAATAATCTTGGCAAAGATTAAAAAAAACGAGTGAAAGATCCTTTTAATAATTATAATTATTTGTCCCCCCTCTCTTTTGTTCCATAAGCTACTAAATTTCCACCAAAAAATGTTACGAATAATTATTTTCACATATATTTTGATTGAATTAGTAAGAAATGAAAAAATAATGGTGATTTTATGTGGAAAAATTAGGAAATTTTCATAATTTAAAAGAGAATTTGTTTTTTTATCGATGTATTATTCAGTGAGTAAGTTTGATGAGAATTGAGTGGATAAATCATGTGTTATAAAAACCATTCACGTCCAAACCTAACTAGAACGTGAATCGAGAGCTCAAACTGAAAATGTACTTAGCTCTAATATTATGAAAAAATAGACACCTAAACCTAACTCAACATCATAAGTTAGTTTATGAAGGAGAATCATTCAAGTTCATATTATAGCAGACCACCAATAAATTTTTTTGTCAATGTAAACCCGATTGTGTTCGGACCTAACTGGAGTGTGGATTCAGAGCTGAAATTTGAAATGAACCTTAATTGGATATTGTGAAAAAATATGACGCATGAATCTAACTCAACATGTAAAGCTAGCTTATGAAAATTAAATTGTCTAAGTCTGTATAAGCAATCATTTTCCGAGCTAATTACTATGGAACGGTAACCAACTTTGATAGAACAAACTTTGATAGAACAAACTTTTATAGAACAAACTTTGATAGAAGAAAAAGTAAACAGAAAGATGAAGAAGCAACTCTTTGCCGCTTCGAACGAATAGAAAAGATTAGGGTAAAAATAATGTCCAATAATTATACAATAAGAAGAAATTAAAACAACAACAAAAAAAAGAAGTTAATATTGCAAATAGAAACATATAATCACCCCCGGCTAATTATTTATATAATTACAATTTGTAGTTACATGTTAGAAGGATGAGAGAGGCGAGTGAGATCTGGCCGGAGAAAGAAAAGAGAAACAAGAGAGATATAATTGATTTGTATATTTGATCGATAATTATATCACAAATATAATTAATTTGTACTAAAAAACTAACTACTAAAAAGAGGTGAGAGATGGGCGAAATCGGGAGAAAGGTGAATGAAATTTGGAAGAGAGTGGAAAGAACAATACAATTAATTTATATAAATGAGGATACAATTATATCGCGAATGCAATTGATTTGAATTAATGAATAACTAATATATTTAAACAGGCGATACAAATCAATTATATTAAGTATATTAACAAATATAATTTGAATCAACGATTACATCAATCATATATCACTGTGGTAATATTCGTAACAAATTATTTTATATTCATTTATTATCGTATATTTCAATGCTCTTGCATGCATAGGTGTAACATGACATGAAGTATCGAACAATATTCTATTCATAATCTCATAAATCTTTGAATGATTTTTATAATTTTTCACTATTTCACATAATAAAAATAACTAATAATATATTTATTTATAATAGCACAAAATCTACTTTAGCTCAAAAATAGTATATATATATATATATATAATACTAAAACATAAATAAATTTAATTTCTAAAAGTTTAAATTATTTTTCCCAACAAGATTACCATTCACTCGATTACACTTGTTTTTTTTTATATTATCACTTTACTTCTACATGAACTATTCTAATTTAAAGATGCTCCCTTTTGGTAAATTGGATTCCAAGGCAAAAATATTTTATTAGTAAAAACTTATGCAGTAACTACTTTATCAAATATATTATTATAAATTAATTACACACAATCTGAATAAAGTAAAGATCATCAAAATGCTTGATTCCCCTTTTATTTTGTGCTTACCTCCTTTCAACAAGCAATTGCACAAATAATTGGTTCCTTTTGATTATTTTATTGTTATGAAAAAATTAAAAAGATAAGAGAGGTCAATCAAGCATATATTTCTCTTCATGCGTTTTCATTTCAATAAAATTCTGTTACGGGAATTTCCTTTTTTGGTTTTAATCCACATTAGGTAAAATTAATTTTGTGTCCACATTGGGAATAGGTACTGGAGATAGTTATTTATCAAAAGTTAATTTGATTTATGTAATAGTTCTAGTATATATGTTTTGTTCGACTAATTAAAAGTTGTTTGAGTTATACGATATAATTGAAATGTTAGACTTGTAAATATTATATCGCAATAGACTTAAATCATCCTACAGAGAGCTAAATATTCATTTTGTTTTCAATCGTAATTTATAATATACTCATCGTATATCATATATAATATCATCCTTAATTAATCTTCTCTTTTCTGTTTGACTTTCTAGATTAGAGGTTTTTTGTATTTATAAGTCCAATAATTTTACATACAACTACAAACTAATTAATTGAGAGCTAAACTATAGTTATTCTATTTTTATTTTTTACAATAATGTGTGTCACAAAATATATTTATGTTTTATTTAATAGAAGGAGATGTATTTGGCCTAAAAGTTGCCTTCAATTTGAGAAAAAATTCGATTAAATTCTCATGGAATATTTTGTGTGCATGTATTTTACATATAAACTAACGTACCATATTTTATGTTTGACTATTTTTCTCTCGTGAAATAATTTTTTTGCAAAAATAAAAATAAATAATTGTCTCACAAGATTCGATTACTTTTACTCTATTATATTAAAAGTATATGTATTTATACTTGTGAATTTCATCTCATACGCTCCTTAATATAGTAAATGAATCTAAAAGGTTCTTTTCATTTTCTTCCTATGAACACCCCATTAACTCTTCACAATTGAATAATTCGCTTTCAAGTTCTTAATTCACCCACATCAAAATATAGTACTTTCTCATCTGCTTTTAAATATTTATTACGATTTCTATTTTGAGTGTTGATATTAAACAATATGCATTTTGATCGATACCTTTAAATGTTCTTTTTTATCACGAAATTGATTAGAGAAAAATTACAACATACCATACTTGGTGTAAAACTTTTTCATATCTAAATTTAACTTTTAAATACCAATTTAATTCAATTAGCTTTGACACTTCATTAAGTTAACTTTCGAGAATAGAAACATGATCATTAGTTTGAAACGAATGAAGT